CCAACGACTCCAACGACTTCAACGACTCCAACGACTCCACCAACTCCAACGACTCCAACAACTCCAACGACTACAACTCCAACGACTTCGACCCCCAACGACTCCACCGACTTCAACGACTCCAACGACTTCAACGACTCCAACGACTCCGACTCCAACGACTTCAACGACTGCAACTCCAATGACTCTAACGACTCCAACGACTCCAACGACTCCAACGACTCCAACGACTCCAACGACTCCAACGACTCCAACGACTCCAACGACTCCAACGACTCCAACGACTCCAACGACTCCAACGACTCCCGACTCCAACGACTCCAATGACTCCAACGACTCGACTCCAACGACTCCAACTCCAACGACTCCAATGACTCCAACGACTCGACTCCAATGACTCCAACGACTCCAACGACTCCAATGACTCCAACGACTGCGACTCCAATGACTCCAACGACTCCAACTACTCCAATGACTCCAACGACTGCGACTCCAACGACTCCAACTCCAACGACTCCAATGACTCCAACGACTCCGACTCCAACGACTCCAACTCCAACGACTCCAACGACTCCAACGACTCCAACTCCAACGACTCCAACGACTCCAACGACTCCAACGACTCCAATGACTCCAACGACTCCAACGACTCCAACGACTCCAACTCCAACAACTCCAACGACTCCAACGACTTCCAACGACTTCAACGACTGCAACTCCAACGACTCCAACTCCAACAACTCCAACGACTCCAACGACTCCAACGACTCCAACGACTTCAACTCCAACGACTCCAAAAACACAGACACGAACAACCAGCACAGCAGCAGCTTTAATCACAGCACGAGAACGACACTAGCGACACTAGCGACACTAGCGACACTAGCGACACTAACGACACTAGCGACACTAACGCTCGCGGTGGGTCGAGGTCTGGTCCAAACCATCGTTTCCTCTCACTCCAGTTTGCAAACAGAACTGATTCTAAACGTATCTGACCAACCACAACCGCACACTGTGACACAACCACACAAAGACGAGTGGATCTGTTGTCAGGTGGATTAACGAGAGAGAAGCCTGGTCTGTTCAGAAGCAAACGTCACGGTTTACATGTAAAAAAGGATTTAAAAAAAACAAAAACACAAAGGACTGAAAAACAACACAAATTTTTGTTTTTCAAAATAAAAATAATAATTAAAAAAAATGTTTTCTTCATTATTTGTCTCCAAAACCAAAATGAAAAAAACAGATAATGATTTGTTCTTTCAGTTTTTGATTTTGTGTTTAAATGAAAAATGGAAAAAACAGAAAGACTAACCAGGACTGAACCAGGACTGAACCAGGACTGAACCAGGACTAAACCAGGACTAAAACCAGGACTGAACCAGGACTGAACAGGACTAAACCAGGACTGAACCAGGACTGAACCAGGACTGAACCAGGACTGAACAGGACTAACCAGGACTGAACCAGACTGAACCAGGACTGACTAAAACAGGACTGAACCAGGACTGAACCAGGACTGAACCGAACCAGGACTGAACCAGGACTGAACCAGGACTAAACCAGGATGAACCAGGACTGAACCAGGACTGAACCAGGACTGAACCCAGGACTGAACCAGGACTGAACCAGGACTGAACCAGGACTAAACCAGGACTGAACCAGGACTGAACCAGGACTAAACCAGGACTGAACCAGGACTGAACCAGGACTAAACCAGGACTGAACCAGGACTAAAACCAGGACTAAACCAGGACTGAACCAGGACTGAACCAGGACTGAACCAGGACTGAACCAGGACTGAGTGTCGGGACGGGCCTGGAGGTGCACCCACATACACTGTGATCAGGACCAGACCAGAACTGAGACTGGGACTGAGACCAGGCTTGACCAGTTTAGTCCTGGTTTAGTCCTGGTTCAGTCCTGGTTCAGTCCTGGTTCAGTCCATTATCTGTTTTTTTCCATTTTTCATTTAAACAAAATCAAAAAGTGAAAAAAGAAATCATTATCTGTTTTTTTTTTCATTTTGGTTTTGGAGACAAATAATGAAGAAAACAGTTGATTTTTCTTCTTATTTTATTTTCTTATTTTTGGTTTTATTTTGAAAAACAGAAAATGGATTCAGTTTCAGACTCTTCTGGATTTGAACAGAATGTAGAAGCGACTGTAGCACACGTCACACTTTTACTGTCTGATTAAAGTGAATTCTTCTCTGGATTTTATTTCTGTCAGTGTTTCTTTGTCTTTGCAGAAACTCAAACACGAGAGGAAAAGGCTGTTTACCTCCACAGTGATGATGGACGAAACCCTTTTCATTTGTGTTTGTGTGAATCTGTGAGCAGCAGTTAAACCAGAACCATAAAGTTAAAAGTGAAAAAACAACTCCAGGTGTGAGTGAAATACTGTTTAATAATTGTCATAGTAACACTGATATGATGTAGTGAGAACAAACAGACACACAGGACGTGAGTGATGTTTATATGAAGATGAGTGTTTTTCAGGGTCTGTGAAACGTTTGTTTCTCTTGAATTTCAATTAAGAACAAAAAAACAATAAAATGGGAAAACAGTTAATTTCATTTTTCTGTTTTAGTATTTTTTAAAAAAACAGATTTCGAGCTCAATTTCCAATATTTAATTTTAAGTTTTTTTCAAATATTTGATTCTCTCTGGTTTATTTGAAGTTCTGCTGCTGAAGGATTCACCTGAAAAATCGTTGCAGTTTTGTGACAAACATGTTTCTTCTTTTGCAGCGACGCGTTTAGTTTGATGTCTTAGAAAGTCGTTGTTGATCCATGACGAGAAACAGGAAGCAGCAAGAAACTCCTTTGTTCAACTGACTTCATGAAACTATAATAAAACAAGAAGAAGATCTATAATAAAAGTTTTTATCCTAGACCCATGGTTGACACGGAACTCCCAGGCAGCACAACTTCAAATAAACCAGAGAGAATAAAACATCAACAATGAAAATAGGCCCTGACTGTTTTTGATTGGTGTTATTTGAAATAAACTTTAAATTAAATATTGGAAATATTGAAAGCTCTCGATTTAGCGTCAGTCTCTGTTCCTCCCCTCACCTCTGGGTAACGACTGAAAGAACCAGATCCATGATACAAGCGACACAGATGAGTTTCCTCCGCAGGGCGTCCGGGCGTCTCCCTGAGAGACAGAGTGAGGAGCTCGGAGTAGAGCCGCTGCTCCTCCACGTGGAGAGGAGCGTCTGAGGGGAGGACGTCTGTTCTGATGTCTCCTGGACGTGTCCCTCAGGAGGTGTTCATGTCCCACCGGGAGGAGGAGGAGACCCAGGACACACTGGAGGGACTATGTCTCTGGACTGGACTGGGAACACCTCAGGTCCCACTGGAGGAGCTGGAGGAAGTGTCTGGGGTGAAGGAAGTGTCTGGGGTCACTGCTTTGACTGATGCCCCCATGACTCAGCCCCGGAGAAGAGGAAGAACATGGACGGATCAGATGAAGAAAAGAGGTAGAGCTTCACTGGGTCATGAAAGAGTTAAAAAAACAGCAGTACAGAAAGTTGGATGGAGATTGGAAATAGAAGTCTGAAATCTGAAAATTAAAATGAAATAATAAACTGTTTCCCATTTATTGTTTTTTGTTCTTAATTGAAATTCAGAAGAACGAATGATACACAGACCCACTTGGAATAAAAATGTGTTATAAAGGTTTATATTCACACACACACACACACACACACACACACACACACACACACACACACACACACACACACACACACACACACACACACACACACACACACACACAGTTGGAGCTGTAAGGCCTTTGGTCAGTGTGAGGAGAACAGACACAACCTGAGAGTCTGAGGAGTTTCATATTTGCAGATTTGATCATAATTCAAATGTTCTGAAGCAGCTTTAAGCAAGAATAAAGTGTCTTTGTTAAACCCGGTGCACACATACACTTACACACACACACACACACACACACACACACTTACACACACACACACACACACACACACACACACACACACACACACACACACACACACACACACAGACACACACACACACACACACACACACACACACACACACACACACACACACAGCACACACACACACACACACACACACACACACACACACACACACACACAGACACACACACACACTTACACACACACACACACACACACACACACACACACACACACACACACACACACACACACAGACACACACACACACACACACACACACACACACACACACACACACACACACACACACACACACACACACACACACACACACACACACACACACACACACACACACACACACACACACACACACATACACACACACACACACACACACACACACACACACACACACACACACACAGACACACACACACACACACACACACACACACACACACACACACACACACACACACACACACACACACACACACACACAGACACACACACACACACACACACACACACACACACACACACACACACACACACACACACACACACACACACACACACACACAGACACACACACACACACACACACACAGACACACACACACACACACATACACACACACACACACACACACACACACACACACACACACACACACACAGACACACACACACACACAGACACACATACACACACACACACACACACACACACACACAGACACACACACACACACACACACACACACACACACACACACACACACACACACACACACACACACCACACACACCACACACACACACACACACAACACACACACACACACACACACACACAGACACACAGACACACACACACACACACACACACACACATACACACACACACACACACACACACACACACACACACAGACACACACACACACACACACACACACACACACACACACACACACACACACACACACAGACACACACACACACAGAGCGCCCTCCTTGCGCCCTCACTCTGCGTGCACACACAGAGCGCCGCCCTTGTGTCTCTCCCAGTAGTGGCAGTCGTCGCTGAAGCTCCAGGCGGCGGCGCAGTCCTTGTGGCGGGTGACGGCGTGGACCACGAGGCGGGCGCTCTGCAGCTGCGAGGTCAGGAGCTCCACCAGCGCGAGGGGCCCGGCTCTGCGGCTCTGGGCCTCCGCCAGCTCGCGGACGCTCTGCTTGGGCACGGGTTTGGGGTCGCCGCTGTAGGACACCACCAGGAGCAGGTGTCTGACGGGCGGCACCTCGAACCAGGCGTCCCCGCTGATGTGGTGGAAGTGCTCGCCCGCCCTCCAGCTCCGGTACGCGCTGCTCGAGCACTTGATGACCCGCACCGACCAGCTCACCCAGTCAAACTTCTTCAGCAGGACCTGGAGCAGCGCCTCGGCCACCTGCACCGTCCCCACAAATACAAAGATTATTAAAGATTATTATTAAAGACCTCAACACACAACAGGATTTTTTTGGTTTTAAAACGATTTTTAAATGTGTGACAATAAGTTCACACCACAGACACGAGGAGAATCTGATGAGACTGAAGACCTGTTTACACGAGAACTCTTGCGTGTAAAAATGACTAAATATTTTATGGGAAGTTTCTTTCGTTTACATCAGGAGTGTCAAACTCATTTTGTTCCGGGGGCCATATCCAACCTACTTTGATCCCAAAGTAGGTTGGATATTTGTGCAGAGAAACACAAATCTATTACATAAATCTTTTTGAATTGATGAACTTTTTCTTTTACAAAATATTATAATATTATGAACAACCTGAAACTTTAAGAAAAATACAATTTCAACACAAAGTTTTAACATGAACTTGTCTGTAAACAGGAATAAGTCCATTTTTGTTGTAAAATCCTGCACTCGGCTCCACTTTTCTCATGTTGGACATTTTTCTGATGAGGGTGTCACGGTCAACAGTCAAAACGATCGTCCTTTAAGAGCGTTTGGAAAGAGACAAGTCTTCATTTGTGCTGCTCTGGTGGGAGGGGCCACGTACAGAGACGCTGGAGACGCTGCTGTGATAAACACCACAGAAAATTAACAACCATTTTAAATAGAAAATATCATTAAAATATTTTAGTGAGCCACAATATTCTAATGTAAGTCAATCTGAGCCAGAGTCAGAAGGAGCCGGAAGGATCACGAGAACTTCCTGTTTGGAACACAGCTGCGTCCATTGATACAAACGGTTTATGAGTCTGAGCCGTGAGTTCAAGAGAATCACCTGTGAATGAAGATAACACCAGAGTCTGGAGCTGCATTAGACAACAGTTTCCTGAAAATATGTTTTGTTTTTGCTTTGTTTTGTGTCACCATGGTAACTTCTGAATATTCTGGCATTCACACACATGTAGAAAACCCCCAGCGTGACGTCTCTACAAAACATCAATAATAACCAACTCCACATGGACAATCAGTTTAAAGGAATCCCTGCCATTCACAAACACATGAAAACAAGTGCCCAGTTTAGTGCCCATAGCGTGCCCACAGTCTCTACAACCAACAAATGCCAAGTTTAATGCCCAAATGCCCAGTTTGCCCAGTTTAGTGCCCAGTTTAATGCCCAGTTTAATGCCCAGTTTAGTGCCCAGTTTTGCCCAGTGCCAGTTTGCCCAGTTTTGCCCAGTTTAGTGCCCAGTTTTGCCCAGTTTTTGCCCAGTTTAGTGCCCAGTTTAGTGCCCAGTTGCCCAAGTCAGTTTTGCCCAGTTTTGCCCAGTTTTGCCCAGTCCCAGGGATGCCCACAGTTGCCCAGGCCCAGTTTAGTCACAGTTTGCCCAGTTTAATGCCCAGTTTAATGCCCAGTTTAGTGCCCAGTTTTGCCCAGTTTTTGAGTTTAGTGCCCAGTTTAATGCCCAGTAATGCCCAGTTTAATGCCCAGTTTAATGCCCAGTTTTGTGCCCAGTTTAGTGCCCAGTTTAGTGCCCAGTTTAGTGCCCAGTTTAGTGCCCAGTTTAGTGCCAGGCCGGTGAACCTCAGTCTCACTGGTGGTGATTCGTGTTGTCACAGCGTCAGTGTTTTGTATCTGAAGTGGAAATTCTCTGATCAGCTCCAACTTTTTCATGTCAGAGGAAATATTTCAGTTACAG